TCTCTCTCTCTCTCTCTCTCTCTCTCTCTCTCTCTCTCTCTCTCTCTCTCTCTCTCTCTTTTTTCAGTCTGTGTGTCTCTTTCAGCCATACACTAACATTTTTTTTAAAAACTGTCTTCCCTCACCCCACCATATTGTGGACATAAAAATCCACATCTTTTAACATGAACAGTTTTCAAATCTCTAAAATCAACCTATAAACAAACTAACACTATTGTCGCCACAAGCTCAAAACCAGGATAAGCAAAGAGAGATACGACTTTCAACAAAGACGTTGAATGAACAGACACGAAAGATGACGACTGCAATCTACACTGAGAAGATACTTTTCAAATTTATTCAAAAGCGACTATAGTAGATAGAAGCATACAGTGTAACAAGAGCAAAAAAAAAAGACAAAATCACATCACAATAAGATTGTAATTACTTTGGTATCTGCAGCTGTATTGCCAGTGCTTGGAGTTTGGGCCGCATAATGTTTCCGATGTTTGTCCCTGCGGCACGGGCAGAAGGCATAGAGCACCCACGTGGACACCTCCATTGCGCTCGCGCGGCCCACCAGACCATCCACTCAAATACCGGTACGTCGTACAAGAATGACCGACAATGAAGTCGGTAAGCAAAAAGTGATGTCGACAATTATTGCAACTCAAGAAAATGAAGATGTCCGTCAAGTTCTGATGATGGCGCAGACACGGTGATTCTCGCACAGAGCATTGGTGTTGGTGAGAGGCGACGCGACGTTACAATTTGAGATGACTCAACGAACAGTGGCGTGGCGAAGAAGCGGGAGGGACCAACATCAGCAGCACTGGTGTCAATTACTATCTAATCTGTACTGGGGCAATGTGAACATTTTGCAAATTACTTGTATTGTAAAACGGCACGGCCCGGTCTCATTGCGTGATCTCCACAAGAACTAAGCAACTTTAGTAAGTTAAGAGTGTGTTTTTTCTGATCCTAGCCGTATCACTTCAAACCATACATACACACCTCAGGGGCTCGAGATCGTTTCTGACAGCTGTTGCTAAGGCAACTCATCTCGGCACATCCACACGCAGAGACCATCGCCGGGCCAGAAATTACCCACTGGTCTTATCACCCCCGATAGCAGTCAGACTTCATGCCCATCTCCTTGGGAACAGCTTCAGAAAAATGTTAACAAATAATAGCTTTACTTATCAAAGCGCATTTCAATTTTTCCCAAACCTAAATCAGGCACGTTTTGAAGCACTGACTGGGTTCAACAAAACTGATTAGACGCTACATCACCTCGGCTGTTCGTCAATAAAAGAATGGCGAGTTACAAACTATGATGGATTGCTTTTTAACACATTTTTTTCTAATCGATTTCTCAGAGACTTCTCACATTCTCAAGCGGGCGATGGGCAAATGGATATCCATTTCAAGTAAACTTTATCCTAAATAAGCTACGTAAGTCAGGTATTCAGAAACAGTTAACTGCAAGTAGGCACACAAAAGGCCAGACCAAGCCAGAAGTTGATTTGCTTTAGATAAAAAGAAACACTCGAAAGATCTATACACCTGAGCAGCCAATAAGTACTAGTCTTTCCATTACAGTGCAAGAAAACCATAAAAGAAAAGTTCAAACCGTGGTACACACACTTACGAAGTCACATTTCATGCCTGCAACCATTAAGAGAAATTAATTTACCCCCCCCCCCCTCCCCAGGCAGGCATTTCGTATGTTCACTTCGCTCTGACATGATACGATATCGAGACCAACTCATTAGGACTGCGGAGAAATTCGTGGACAAGAATTAAAATAACGTCCCTCACTTCAAATACAATGATTCAAACATTAAACCTCGTTAGAACCAAATGGCTAAATACACAATTCCCCCTATTTAGCTTCCCAAGCTTAATCATATTATTCATTAAAAACACGTTCTCTCTCTCTCTCTGTTTCTCCCCCTCCCCCCTCTCTCTCTCACTCACACACACACACACACACACGCGCGCGCGCGCGCACACACACACACACACACACACACACACACACACACACACACACACACACACACACACACACACACACACACACACACGTACACGCGCGAGAGCACACTTTAAAATTTTTTAATGTATAGCCACAGGTACACATAAAAAACGCGCAGCAAACTTTCGCACCCTCACCATTCCCCTCTCCACCCGAGTTTCCCCCGAAGCACTCTCCATGACAACTCGTAAGACACAGACTTACTACCCCGGTATGATCGACACGACATGATTATAATCTCCGCTCTTCTCACTTTCAGCGACTTTTCAAAAGTCTTGAATATACCCCTCGGGGACAAGCTGATGCCACGGACCACACCCAACTCAGCCCTTCTCAGTTTCCATCATCTCATCCATCCAGCCTACCTCATTCTCTTTAGCAGCCCACCCTCTCCCCCCATGCTTCCACCCGTATGTCCGTAGTTGCTAAGAAACCCGCGGGCAGGGCCAGTGGCGTTGTTTCACCAGCCGGCAGTTCTAGCTCGGCATTGGCTGGCCAGTCAGAGACAAACAACAAACAATCAACACTTGAAAGGCAATCGATACCGGGCGAGTCAGCAACAGGCGGGCGCTGGCTCTGCTGGTTACATCTACCCGGGGTAGACAGTAGACATGCATCAGTCAGCACGCGGCCTTGAAGACCGTTTCGTATGTTATGAATGTACAAGACAGGCAGAGAAGGGGGGCTATGTGAGTGAGAGAGAGAGAGAGAGAGAGAGAGAGAGAGAGAGAGAGAGAGAGAGAGAGAGAGAGAGAGAGAGAGAGAGAGAGAGAGAGAGCCTGCAGGCGTGTCTGTGAGAGTGTACACATGGAGGTAGATAAATGATAGATGAAGATTAAAATTATGATTTCTTTCGGCAAGCCCATCGTTGACGGCCTGAATTGATTAGAAAGGAGAACCATGAAATCCTTCAGCACTGCAAGATACACAGGGCCCTGAGACATAGTTTTTTTTGTAGTTTTACTAAGAGTTTTATGGCACTTGCAGGACAATAAAGTCATATAAGTGCCGAAGATTAGAGGTGTTACAAGAGAGTAACAAACATAAAAAAGAAGATGGGGCCATAACGACGATAGATGTTTGATAGGAAAGAAGAAGCAAACCACACCAGAGCACCCGCCAACCACCCACTCTTGTTTAGTTTGTTTTAGTAGAGGTTTTTCAGCGCTTGCAACTGCATAAGGTCATATGAGCGCCAGAAGATTAGAGGTGTTACAAGCGAGTACCGTAACAAACATAAAAAATAAGGAGGGTAGATTTCTGATAAGGATGATAGGCGTTTGATAGGAAAGAAGGAGCAGACCACACCAGAGCACCCGCCAACCACCCGCCCACCCACTCTGAGACAGGAAACGTGGCCAACCGCACTGACACTACAAGAGAAGCTATACGGGCCGACAGATGAAGCGAGCAGGGCGGCCCAATTTATCTCAAGTCTTAGTGTGATGCAATCGAGAAGAAGCGAACCACGAACACAACCAGGTGCACAAATAAGTTGGAAGACGCAGGCTTCTGAAACACCACACCAGTAGGTCAGTAGAAAGTTCAGACCCCCGACCCCTCCCCCCTCCTCCACACACAAACACCAACGATTAATAATGAATAATTACAATAACAGAGCACCAGACATCCGAGCAACACTGAGTTATTTCCCTTTACGAGCATCTGTAGGGCGTTAGGCGGCGCCAATCAACGCGAAGTGGCCTGTTGATTCTGGACTCCTCACGAAGACTGTCAAAGGACAACGCTGTACCTGAGGAGACCCAGCAGGCCAGACCACGACGTACAGCAAAACACGTCCCGACTGGAAGACTGTCTTCCTGCAGTTTTTTGTTGTTGTTTTGTTTGAGCAAAGAGAAGCACGTCGGCACGATACAAGTCGTTTGGTGCAGGGGGAAAAAACAACCCAAGGCAGATAAACAAACAGAAACAACAGAGGGAAAGAAAAGAAGTTGGAACAAACAGAAACCACAGAGGGAAAGAAAAGACGTCGGAGGTAACAGTGGCGCCGCGCCCTCAAACCACTCACCCTCCTTCAGCTCAAATGCCCACTGTCCCCGAAGATTTCTAAATCCTACATGTTTGACAAAAGAAAAGCACGTCGACAAAATAATGGCCAAATAGTCAATTGAAAGAGCAAACACAAAGACTGAAAACACAGAGGGGGTGGGGGCAGGTGGGGGGGG